AATATGCTCTCATCAAATAGAACATGTCTGGTAAGGATGATTTTCTTGTCTGGTAAAAGTACTTTGAAGCCTTTGAAACCAGGGCTGTAGCCAATGAAGGTGGAAGGAAGACTTTTTGGCTCAAGCTTGTGAGAATTGTATGGTTTCATTAAAGGAAAACAAAGGCATCCAAATGTTTTAAGATGGGAGTATGCAGGTTTAAGTCCAGTAAGAGACTCCAGTGGAGATAAGAATTTTTTAGACTTGGTGGGTGTTCTGTTAAACAAAAATACACTGGTAGAGAAAGCTTCATCCCAGTACCATAAAGAAGTTTGGATTGAGTGATGAGGGCTAGGCCAGTTTGCACAATGGATTTGTGCTTTCTTTCTGCAAGTCCATTTTGCTCTGGTGTATATGGGCATGAAGATCTGTGAATGATCCCAGAGGAAGACAAAAGAGGTTTTAAGGAAAAGAACTCACCACCACCATCAGTTTGAAGGATCTTTATTTTGGTTTGGAACTGATTTTGAATGAGAGCTTTAAAGTGATTGAAAGCTTCTTTTGTGTCAGATTTTTGTTTAAGCAAATACATCCATGTATATCTAGTGGCATCATCAACAAAACTGACATAATATCTGTAGCCTTTGTGAGATAGTATTGGTGAAGGACCCCATAGGTCTGAGTGAATAACTTCCAAAGGTTTGTAATGGTGAGAATCAGACAGAGAAAAAGGTAACTTGTGAAACTTTGATTGCATACAGATAGAACATAAGGAACTTCTCTTATTATCATGAAATTGAATGTTACAATGCTTAAGAGCTTTTTTGACAATATCATATGAAGGGTGATCTAATCTAGAATGCCAAACTTCTAGACTTAAAGGTCTTCTTGATTCAGCAACATTGCAACTTGATTGAAAGGGATTGAAATGAGAAGTTGAGTTGGGAGAGACACTTTGCTTGAGAAACTGAGGGTGAGTCTTGGACTTGCTAAGTTGAAACTTGTACAAACCATGCTCAAGATTTCCTTCCAGAAGAACTTCCTTTGATGTGAGATCCTTCACAAGACAGTGATCAGGGTAAAATTCAAAGAACACCTTGTTATCTTTTTAGAATTGTGCAACACTTATCAGGTTTTTGTTTAAGTGAGGAATGTGTAAGAGGTTGTTAAGGTGTAGGCTGTGTTTGGAAGATGTGGTGGGACACTTTATTAAAGCATTACCAAAGTGAGCAATTGCCATACCTGACCCATTAGCTGTTTGAATCCTTTCACCACCATGGTAATCAGCTGCCAAATTCAGATTGCTCAAGTCATAAGTGAGGTGGTTAGTTGATCCTGAATCTGGATACCAACTGGTGTCTTGGGTGCACTCTGAGGTGTTGTCTCCATTGTTGACAGCAAAGTTTGCAGAGAAAGAGCTTGCACCACCATTGTTGTAGCCTTGAAAGCTTCCATTTCCATTGTTTGGGGTTCTGGACACAAATTCAGCATCAAATCTGTAGTAGCATTTCTCTGTTGTGTGGTTATTGTACCCACAGATTTGGCATTTAGGCCTGTTACCATTGAACCTGCCTCCTCTTCCTCTAGAGTTATCTTGTCTGCCTTGTCCTCTTCCACCTCTGTTGGGTTGGAATTGATTGGAGGCCCTTCCACCTCTCCATAGCTAGTTCCTCTTCTTCTACCACCAATTTGTGTGGCCATGTTTGCAGCTAGCTGTGAGCCATCTCCAAGAGGAGTAATTTTTTCCAAGGATTCAAGTCTGGCTTCAAAACTTTGAATTCAATGAGAGAACATATGTCAGCTCTAGATGTAATGGATACCACCACTGAGTTGTATTCTATACCAAGGCCAGCCAATAGGTAGAGGATTTGATCACTCTCTGTGACTTGATGTCCAGCCATACCAAGCATATCACAGATTCCTTTCATTTTGTTAAAGTATTCTCTCACCTTCAGATTTCCTTTCTTGAGA